GGTGGGTGGGAGGGTGGGTGGGTGTGTGTGTGTGCGCACGCGCACGCACACGTGTGTTGGGGGAATATCATGAGGACAGACGCCTGGCTCAGCTCAGTACCTTAGGGAGCTGAGGCCACGTCTTGCCCAACCATTCCATATCCATACAGAAACAAGAACATGAGTCTGGGATCCCAGACTAAGGTGTACAGCTTTGGTTTCAGCACTTGAGCTTAGCAATCTTGGGTGTATCTTAATAGCAGTTTCCTCATCAGTACAATGGGGCCTAATCATCTCATCCCTGAGAGTTTATGAAGATCAGATGGGATCAAGTATTTTCAAGGGCTCTTCAACTGCAGAATGATATTCATGGGGACAGATGTTGTTTTAAGAGGGTGGGGAAAGGGTGCTCTGACTCACTCCTAGGAACAGCTTTCTCTCTCAGCTGTGGTAAATGAAAGCCAGAACTCCTGGGCAGAGGGCATCTGGAAGGGGCAGAGGTCATGGGAAAAATTCTATGAGCCCTTCTAGTTGGAGACTTACAGCTGCTTTGTAGCCTAGCCCCAGCCCCAACCAAAAGGTAAACTCGAATCCAGCCCTCACTCTGATTCTGCCCTAAACACTGAGGCTTTGGTTCTCCATGACAAGCAAAAAATGAAAGACAGGATGAAACAACTACCCTAACTCTCTTCCTTTCTTTTCCACAATAAGTGGTGGTAGTAATGGGGGAGGGGTGGTGGTGGCAGCAGCAGCTTACTTAGCAGACTGAGGGGGCCTCCCATTCTTTATTCAGTCCCAATAAGTTAGAGGGTAGAGGTGCAGGCAGGGTCTCTTAGGTGAAGATGCTGCTAACTAAAGGCAGCAGCTCAGCCAGGTGTTCCAAGGTGTCCACTGCTTGGCACAGGGGGTTGCCTTGCAGGTTGAGGAGGGCGAGCTTGGGGCAGGAGGCAAGAGGCTGGAGTGCTGCAGGTTGCTGGAGACCTTGGGCAAGAGAGTCAAGGAAAGCTTGGCGGGTTCCCAAAGATCCATTTGCTCCTATGTATCCGTCACTGTTCTCCCTCAAGAGCGGGGACTGCTGCCTGGTAGCCTGGTTGACGGGCATCCTGCATGCTTCCCTGGAGTGAGTAAGTGGCCAGAGGCCAGGCAGGAAGCACGGAGTGCAGACTGAATATGGTACTAGGAGTGGTGGAGACTATGGCCAAGGGGAAGGCAAGCCCGGGCTATAGTGACATCCACGACTCAGCAATGACCAGGGGTAGGTGAGTGGAAATGCAGGCCAAAAGTTGCTTTAACTTCCAATTTTTAAGAGGAATCAGAATTCCAGGTTTTTAAAATATGAAACTTCCCGATTTCATAATACTAAGCGGTACCCAAGAACATCTGCGGGCTGTCCATTTGTGAACTCTGGCTTGAGGAAGTCTCTTCCCTCCTGCAGAACTCCACTAGTGCAAGTCAAAGAAAGCCCCACACAGCCCCAGGATATTCTCTCTCCTTAGCTTAGACTGCCAGAACCCCCTCCCCATCCCCCTGAGGGCACCCACCCTGATTGCTGTCTGTCCCTTCCCAGTGTGGCACCTCACTCTACCCGCTGACTGAAAGTCATCCAGAAGGAAGGATACGGTTGTTGTACAGTAAGAGCTCTTGCAGCCGAGGCAGGTTAGTGACACCATCCAAGGACTCTATGACATTATCATTGGCCTGCAGCACCTGGGGAGCAGGGAGGGTAGGGAAGACAAGGCAGGGCAGGCAGCTGTCAGCCTGAGACTGACTGTACATGCAACTGAGGTGCCTAGGGTGATCAGCTTACAGTGCATGGAAGGGCTTCTGGGTCAGACTGGATGATGGAGGGGGTAAGGCAGGGGTCATCTATAGGGGCTGGCAGGACCTGGGCATCTCTCTGTCGGGTAGGCAGACTTCTGAGGTGGAGGAATGGGAAAAGGACCACCCAGAACAGTGACAGAGGACTGAGGGCTTTACCTCAAGGCAGCGCAGGGCGGCCAGGGCAGGGGGCAGGGCTCGGAGACGATTATTTGACAGGTCAAGATGAGTGACCAAGAGTAGCTGTTCCAGATGACAGAGCACCGTCAGATCCTGAGGAGCAGGGATGAGATACTCAGCAGGGAGGGGCCTGAGCCATCGTTTATCAGGCACTTACTCTCTGGTCGTTGAGGGAGGCAGTGGGCAGGTCACAGATCTGGGCCAGTGTATAGTGAAGCTGAGGACTGGGGGTGGTGATGCCCATAGCCCCACAGAGGCCCTTGGGGACCTCAGCTGAGAAGAGGATGGGGTAGGTGGAGAGCTTACCTTACAACCCACCACAGTACATGCTCCATGTCAAGGACATGGAACAGACTGATTGCTGGTAGGGTGGCTAGTGGAGTGGATGGAGTAGGGGCAGGTACAGGGGGCAGAGGAGAACGCTGGAGTAAAAAAGACACTGGTAGGAACAGGCCTGGTAAATCTGGGAGATTGGTTTGGTGGGAGCAGAGGTGGGCTGCAGTGATGTGATGAAACTAACGTGTTAGGAAGACTGGGAAGAGCCACAAATTGAAGAAAAACAGAGTCTGGAAAATTTGTCAGGAATCTCTGGGAACTATTCAGGCTTTAGGCATTGGCTTGCTCCAATGAGCAGCAGAAGAAATGTCCAGAAAGGCACCTGAAGGCAAAGCCAGGGGTGTAGTGAGGCCACACAGAGAGGGCCTCAGCTGAAATCCAGAGAATAAACAGAAAAGCTGGCCAGGCCACGAGGAAGAAGAGCGGGCCAGTGGGGCGAGGGTCCAGGGAAGGCCCATGCACAATCCATACCTTGTGACTCAGGTGCAGCACGCGCACCTCTGCATACTCCATCTTGAGCACGCTGTTCTCCACTAAGAACTTGCTGCGCAAATCATCCAGGTATGCTGCCCGCATTGGGTCCACAACCTGGAGGGGATGGAGCCAGCAAGGAATGTGTGTCAGCTGCCTTCCTCCTGCCCACCAGGCCTTCCCCTTGCCTGTTCCCGAATGTCTAGCTTGCCTTGAGGGTCTGGAAGTACTGCAGTGTCTCTTTCTCATATAGGAGAGGATCCAGTGCCCGCATCAACAGGATAATGGTGAGTAGGCACCCTGTGAAAAGGGTGGGAAAAGGAAAGTCTCTTTGGACCCTCCTCCGCTCCCATCTACCTGAGACCCATCCCGCTCTCCCCAAGCCCTC